AACTTGGTGTTTCCAGCCAAAGCATCAAGGTGGAGTGTTGAAGGTTGATGCTGTGCTAGAAGTATGTTTTGATGTTGCTAAAAGTTTGAAGTTATCTTGTTGCTGCAAGATGGACGTGCATGGTGCTGTTTTAAGTTCAGTAGTTTAAGTTTATTTTGTCATCTTGTATGTTAATTTTGAATTTGATGACTTAGCTTACTTTCACCAATTTGTAATGAAGTTGTTAGACTTGAGTGGTTTAGCTGAGATTAAGTAAAAGCTTACTGACAGTAGTAGAAATAGTAAGCCAAAGTATGTTATATGCAGGTTTTGTTACCTAATGAAATCAGATCATTTTTTCCTTCCATTCTCTTTTCTTTGCACATCCGACATTAGTAAAAACACTAACATCAAACATAAAGTGGACTGGTTCTATGTAAGCATGGAAGTTGAATTTGTGGTGGGCTTCTGGAGTTCAACAGAAGATGGAGGTATGTGCATTATCATTTCTTAGACTGCCTTGGAGACAAAGTTAGCAGTGTTCTAAGAAAATGTGGCTAGGTTTTTTATTTTTTATTTTTTTTCTTAAAGAGTTGTGTGTTGCTTTATGTACTTCAATCATCAAATAAAGTATAAGCGATAATTCCCTGAAACAGGAAAACAATTTTTTTCATGAATTCATTCTCATTTCCAAACATTGATTATCTTGTTTTACAATGGCTTAAAGCCCTCCAAGTTTCACATAGCTAGACATAATTAATGGAAGAACAAATATACACGGATCATTAATTAATAATAAGCAGAAGAGCCATGTTTTTCGGAACAATACCTTTATCCCTGAACTGTCAACTTAATAGTACAGTACTTTACATTGATGAAAATGAGTTTTCTGGAAATGTTCCAAAATGGATCAGTGAAGAATTTACAAGAATGACAATTCTCAACCTTCGTTCGAATCAGTTTCAAGGTCTCTTACCGATAAAACAATTTTATTATGAACTCAATTAAAACGTATATCTAACCTTCCCTTTTATAAGTTTTAAAGGGATAATTGACAACAAAAGTTACAAGAAGTTACAAAATAATAAAACTGAAAATAACTTCCATTTGAGTTTATCTCAAACTGAAATTTTTGGGTCATGCCTCTACCAAAAGATTCATACTTCAACACTTTGCATCAGATCCAATAGCTGCCACTCTTCATCTTGGTCAACGCATAAAAGCAGACTAATCACCTGTTTTGAAGAATAGAATAAGCTCTTCTTCGTGTGTTGCAATTTCTCTCTGCTAGGGTTCATATTTGTAATCATAATCTTGTAATCCTTGGGCGATCTGTTGAATCGTGGTTAGAAGGTTATGTTTCCTTCAACGGTAGAGAAGCTGGGTTAGTTTTCTCTTAGGATTAAGGGTTACTGTGATTGGGTTGAGTGATTAGGCTGTAGAGAGGGGTTTTACGATTTCTTGGCTGTGATTGTAATCTGTAAACACTTGATTTTAGTGCAGCAAACCTCAGTATTCTGAAGCTCAACGTGGATGTAGCTTGTTTAATTTTGAACAAGTGAACCACAGTATAATCGTGTTTGTTCTGATTCTTGGTATAATCGTGTTTGTTCTGATTCTTGGTTATTTGTGTGTTTGTGTTCTTGTTTGGCTCAGTGTTGATTGTTAGCAATTAGATGTTTGTTCAGACTCAAGTTACAACAACCTATTACAAGTTAAATGGGATAATTCCTTCCGGCACTGAACTGCAAAGCTTTGATGCATCTTCTTTTATGGGCACTGAACTTTGTGGACTCCACTTGATAATTGTACTACATCTGATCCAATGCTTGATTATGAAAATGGTGATGGTAATGAACATGAAGTGGACTGATTCAATCGGCCCTTTGTTTGTCAACAAAAGATGGAGGTATGTGTACTGTCATATGCTGGATCACCTTGGAAAAAAAGTTAGCAGTGTTCTAAGAAAATGTGGCTAGATCTTTTTCGGAGCCGTTTGTTAGTTTTTGAACTTCAATCATGAAAAAAAGTATTAAGAGATCATTCCCTGAAACAGGAAAACAATTTTTCATAAAGTTTAAGAAATTTATGAAACCGTAATCATTTCCCAACATTCAGTAACTTTTTTAACAGTGGCTCAAAGCCCTCCAAGTTTCAAATAGGTAGACATAATTAACTTAGGAACAAATATACAAGGATCATTATTAATAATGAGCAGAAGAACCCTGTTTTCTGGTAATCACATCACAATTTCTGCTGATTTTTATTGATTCCTTGCTGAAGAGAAACTCTTTATCCTGAGTAATCTTGTAAACAAAGAAGGTGTGTTCTAAATTCAGGTCACACCACAATCTTCTCCCTGCAGATTTTTATTTATTTTGTATAGCAGAAAAAAAAAATTGATCAGGGCGCTGCAACTTGGGACGGAGTCTCAGCTTCTTCAGTCTACTCAGAGCTGGGTTCACTCCAGGATCGGGGTCGAACGCCAAGTTTGGAGAACAAGACCATCTCCAATACTTCAAACACCTTATGCTTATCCATCTTGCAATGCCACCACCAATTGCGGCAGCTTGTTCTTAGTGACATGAGCCCAAGCATGAAATTGCTGGCTAAACATAATACAGCCTGCGCAGACACTCACGAATCCATTAATCGTTCCATCATTACACATGATAGCCAAAGGTAGCACTGTCAAGGTTATGGCTTTAGCCAAGGCATGCAAATTGTTAGCAAATTGGGGCCTGGTGATTGTCCAAGGCCACCTATGGTGACCATGGAAAGCATCAATTTGTGCACCAAAAATTGGTGTTGAGGCATCACCATAATTATCAATACCCCAGTGGTACACATCGGACCCAAGATCAGCCAAAATGTAACCAACGAAGCCTGCCAACATGGGCTCGAGCCAGACATGAGAAGAGGTTGCAGCCACCATAGATTTGGCTAGGCAAACAAGCACTGTGGTGCACCCAGTTGCGACCCAAGCTCGATGAGCCCATGTTGACTGCAAAGTTGGGTCATTGCAAAAGGAGAAGAAGTTGCTAGCCGTGGCTCGAGGATGGGCTTAGGCTTGGTAGTAGTAGTTGCTGAGCATGTGACACGGGTACCGTGGCTTGGCCGATAACATTTTTGGTGGGGTAGGGTAGGCATTGAAGAGTACCGGCTCTAAGATAATCAAAACAAGAGTGCAATGAGAAGCTATATATAAACAAGTTGACAGAAATGAAAGGCAAATATTTCTAATTCTTTCTATAACTTGTGTGCAAATTAATCAACTTTTAGGTGGTCCATGAGTTAATTTCATTTTTTAGGTAACTGTGGTATCCAAACCCACATTGGAGTCTGCTTGAACATGCTATAAGCCCCCACACTGAAGCCTGTCTAATCCTTAAGGCTATGGAATATCCTACATGTCCAATGGACCAAAAAAAGTCTAACTAATCCTCAGGATCACAAAACATCATATAAGCCCAATGGCCCAATGGACCAAGAAAGGCAAATATTTCTAGTTCTTTTTATAACGTGCAAATTAATGAACTTTGAGGTAGTCCATGAGTAATTTCATTTTTTTTTTTTTTTTATTTGGGTAACTGAGATATTCAGGCCCACATTAGAGCATGCTTAAGCAACAAGGCCACAGAACACCCTACAAGCCTGCACATTGGAGTCTGTCTAATCCTTAGGGCCACGGAACACCTTACAAGTCTAATAGATAAAAACTTTTGGGTGTATTGCTAAAGAGGTCCTGAGTTCGAGTCATCTCGATTGCTAGTAGGGATGACCATTAAATGATATATCGAATGTTAACTTTAAGACTCTGATAGATTAGTTGAAGTAACGTATGTCACAAAAAATAAATAAACAAATACAACATACTAGCCAACTAAAGTTCGTTGACCCTCGTAGCTTTATGCTACTTTTCCAGTTAGTGTCAACAAGCTCAACATCCATGGTTCTATTTCAAGTAAAAGTCAATGTACAGATATATATAAACAGTAAAATTTGACGTGTAGAACAAGTAAAAAACTTGAAAAGGTTTTAGTAATTGAATAAGCCAAAGGAAGACAAAGGCACGAGAAAAGAAAAACGAAAAGACCATAATGATAGTTGTTGACAACCCAGTATTAAATGAATGCACTATTAGTGAAGATAATTGATATGACTTGAACACGGTAAGTTGAACTCAAAGACCACAATGATAGTTGTTATTGACAATTCAGTATTAAATGAATGCACAATTAGTGAAAGATAATTGATATGACCCAAAAACGGTAAGTTGAAATCATGTTAGCATATGACCCAAACATGGTAAGTTGAAATCATGTTAGCTGCAATGGTGTTATTTACCTTCTGCAGATTGATCATATATTTATTTACATTATTTGCTTTTCTTACATGTTATATCTACATTTGTATAAATTGTGACACATTGTATATAAAATATACATATCAAATACAAAAGTATTCTTTCTCTCTATTTCTTGCTGTCTCTTTCTCCCGGCATATTCAGCAACTGAGTTGCTTCTCCTGTCCATCCAGCCTCTCCTTGGCATACTTCGGTAGCCTTACTACCCTCTCTTGCCACTCCAATTCCAGGTTCTTACAATAGTGCTATTAAGTCTTGGTCAACTGATATTAACGCATTGATTGATATATTACTCTGAAAAAACCATTTTTGACAGTAACCAAAGCTTAATTATGAAATCAATAATCGGATCAATCCAATACAGATTCGTGAAATTTTATGAAGGTTTATCTTTATATATTACCTTAGTCTTGTTTATCTTCTTTATATATGGAATCCTTTAGATTTTTTAGCTTCTCAATAATAAACTTTCCTGGTTAGCTGTTTACTTTCTTTTGTCTTAGCAAATAAGTTAGAAAAATCAAAGCTTAGCTGTCCTCTTTAATTGACTTATAGTCTACTCTGGTAATAGTATTCCACACGGACAACTATGGATAATTTTCCACATTAATTTGATTTTCAATGACACTATAAATAGCATCCTGTTGGGGAAGTTCTCATGCACATTTCCTTCTTGTTACAAATTTAATTCAAAGGAAACCATCATGAGTGCTGTTTCTGCCATTCTTCTGCTTCAGCTGATTATTACCATAGCAACCATCAATATTAGCTTCTGCAATGGAAGCTCTTACAGCGGTTGCATTGAGAGTGAAAGATAAGCACTTTTTACGGTTCAAGCAAGATCTCAACGATACTTCGAAGCGGCTCGTCTCCTGGACTGGTGATGGCAATTGCTGTAAATGGGTTGGTGTTGTCTGTGACAATTTGACAGGCCATATCCTTGAGCTCCACCTTCGAAATCCTTTGAGAGCTGGCTCACCAGACGCGGAATATGAAGCCTATGAGAGATTAAAATTGGGTGGTAAGATAAATTTCTTTCCATTGCTTGACTTTAAACATTTGATTCACTTAGACTTAAGCGGTAATGATTTTGAAGGTGCTCAGATTCCTAGCTTTCTTGGTTCTATGGGGAATTTAAGATACCTTAATCTCTTTAGAAGTAGATTTCAGGGAGTGATTCCTCATCAACTTGGAAATCTCTCAAATTTGGAATATCTTGACCTCTTTTGTAATGGTTACAGTGAGTTTTCTGTTGAGAATCTTTTTTGGGAGTCTGATCTTTCTTTGCTACAACATCTTGATTTGGGTGGTGTTAACCTTAGTAAAGCCTCTAATTACTGGTTGATGGTGACAAACAAACTTGGTTCTTTGGTAGAATTAAAATTGTCACGTTGTCAGCTCCACCACTTTCCTCCGCTATTCATAGCAAATTTTTCGTCTCTTTCTACACTTGACCTTTCCTATAACAACTTCGATAGCTCTCTGATTCTTAGTTGGATTTTTGGTCTCAGTCACCTGAACTTGCTTGATATAAGTTCGAATAATTTTGCAGATCCAATCCCTGATGGACTTCAAAACTTGACATCTCTCACACATCTTGATTTATCTCTCAATAGTTTCAATTCTTCAATACCCAATTGGATCTACAAATTTAGTCGTCTGGAGTACCCTTCTTTTGGCTGGAACAACTTGCAAGGTACAATTCCAAGCGTTTTGGGAAACCTAAGTTCTGTCAATCTCCTTTATCTGTCATTTAATAATCTTGAAGGGAGAATCCCAAGATCATTTGAAAGGCTTTGCAAGTTGAGGTCAATCTTTGTACAGGGTGCCAAATTGAGTCAAGAGATATCAGAGGTCTTAGATATTTTTTCAGGATGTATCTCAGATGGCCTAGAGTTATTGGAATTGAGTGACAATAAATTTTATGGTCATTTGACCAATAAACTTGGGCAATTTAAAGATTTAAGCAGGCTTCTATTACGTAACAACTCTATTTCTGGTCCTATTCCATTATCTTTAGCAAATCTTTCATCTTTAGTAGATTTAGATCTTTCTTGCAATAAATTGAAGGAACTCTTCCTCAAATTCACTTTACCAGTCTGAGTCAATTGTTGTACTTTTCTGTAAGTAAAAACTCATTAATGTTGAATGTCAGTCCTCATTGGATTCCTCCATTTCAACTATTGGAGTTAGAACTGGGATCTTGTTATGTAGGACCTCAATTTCCATTGTGGCTTCATACACAAAAGCACCTACTTCATCTGGATATGTCAAAATCGGGAATTCAGAATACCATATCTAGTCATTCTTGGAAATACTTTTCCAGATTTATATTTTTAAATCTATCTCACAACCACATCCATGGGAAGGTTCCGAATTTTACTAAGGCTTATCGCCTTGAAGTTCTTGATTTAAGTTCAAGTAATTTCTTTGGACCACTGCCTCTCATGCCCTCTGATGTTTTTGGACTAGATCTTTCCAACAATTCTTTTTCAGGAACCGTGTCTCATTTTTTGTGTTATGGGATGAATGAGTCAAAGTTAATGCAATTTCTCATTTTGAAAGACAATTTTTTGTTTGGAGAATTACCTGATTGTTGGATGAATTGGGAAAACTTGTTGGTCCTGAATTTAGGTAATAATAAGTTTACCGGTAACCTTCCAAGCTCCATGGGAACTTTAAGTTTCCTCCAGTCGCTACACCTTCGCAAAAACAACGTATTTGGAAGGATATTGGAATCACTTGTAAACTGTTCCAACTTAGAGACTCTTGATGTTGGTGAAAATCAGTTTATTGAAAATATGCCAATATGGATCGGGGAAAGATTTCCAAGTATGAAAATTATGAGCCTTCGTTTTAAGTTTTATGGTGTTCTACCATCTGAACTTTGTCATCTGGCTTCAATGCAAATCTTAGACCTTGCTCATAACAATTTCAGTGGAATCGTGCCGAGATGCATCAATAACTTTAGTTCCATGGTAACAATAAACTATTCTGTAGGTGATCAGATACCGTATCAGTCTGAATTTTTTGTGTCTATCGAGTACGCATCACTTGTGATGAAGGGGAAAGCAGCTGAATATAGTACTTTTCTTAATTTGGTAAGAAATTTAGACCTTTCCAACAATAAATTTGCCGGTGAAATTCCTACAGAAGTCACAAATCTTGATGCCCTACAATCACTGAACCTGTCATACAATTTTTTCACTGGAAAAATTCCCGAAAACATTGGTGCTATGACATCATTGGAGTCCCTTGACATCTCTGCAAACAAACTTTCTGGTGAGATCCCAATTGGTATTTCAAGTTTGACATTTTTAAGTCACTTGAACTTATCCAATAACAAGTTGAGTGGGGGAATTCCTTTAGGCACTCAACTACAGAGCTTTGATGCATCCTGTTATGTGGGAAATGATCTCTGTGGACCTCCACTGCCTCAGATTTGTACTACGACTGTTCCAACACCTGACTATCAAAACACTGATGGTAATGAGCATGAAGTGGACTGGTTCTATGTAGCCATGGCACCTGGATTTGTTGTGGGCTTCTGGAGTTTGATAGGGCCTTTGCTTGTCAACAGAAGATGGAGGTATGTGTATTGTAATTTCTTGGATCGCCTTGGGGACAAAGTTAGCAGTGTTCTAAGAAAATGTAGCTAGATCTTTTTCGGAGTTATGTGTTTCTTTATGTACTTTAATCATCAAATAAAGTATTAAGCAAGCATTCCCTGAAACAGCCAAAAAAATAAAAAAATAAAAAAATACTTTTACATGAAGTTTAAGTAATATATGAAATCTTGCATACTCATTTCCCAACATTGATTAACTTGTTTTACAATGGCTTAAAGCCCTCCAAGTTTCACATAGCTAGACATAATTAACTAAAGAACAAATATACAAGGATCATTAATTAATAATAAGCAGAATAACCCTGTTTTGTGTTAATAACATCAGGAATTCTGCCGAAAGAATACACTGCATTTGATTCGAAGGACACATACAACATTGTTTTGTTTATAAACAGAGAAGCTGTGTTCTAAATTCAGGTCGCCCCACAATCTTCACCCCGTAGAATTTTGTTTATAAATTGTATCTAGCAGAGAGACTGATCCATAAAAGTAGCAATATTGTTTTGTTTTCCTCCTTCACCTTATCCATCAAAAAGAAAAAGGAAATGGCCATAAAATTATCAAACCCTCAAAAAGAAAAAAAATTATCAGCGTGCTGCAACTTGAGAAGGAGTCTCAGCCTCTTCAGTCCACTCAGAGTTGGGTTCACTCCAAGACCGGGGTCGAAAACCAAGTTTGAAAAACAAGACCATCTCCAAGACTTCAAACGCCTTCTGTTTATCCAAAAACTCATTCCAAACTCCACTTACTATGCAGTAATTGTTGTTGTAAGGCGGCCTGTGATGTGCAGCATGTTGTGACCGCGACACAAGCACCCCTGCATCCTGTAACGCCACCACTAATGGCGGCAACTTGCTCTTAGTACCATGAGCCCAGGCATGAAATTGCTGGCTAAACATAATGCAGCCTGCGCAGACACTCACAAATCCATTAATACTTGCATCATTACAAAAGATATCCAAAGGTAACACTGTAAAGGTTATGGCTTTAGCTAAGGCATGCAAATTGTTAGCAAATTGGCGCCTGGTGATCGTCCAGGGCCACTTATGATGACCCTGGAAAGCATCAATTTGTGAACCGAAAATCGGCGTTGAAGCATCACCGTAATTATCAATGCCCCAGTGGTAGACACCGGACCCAAGATCAGCTAAAATGTAACCAACGTAGCCTGCCAAAATGGGCTCAAGCCAGACATGAGAAGAGGCTGCAGCCACCATGGACTTGGCTAGTGAAACAAGCACAGTGGTGCACCCAGTTGCGACCCAAGCTCGATGAGCCCATGTTGACTGCAAAGTTGGGTCATTGAACAAAGGAGGAGAAGCTACTAGCCGTGGCTCGATGATTAGCTGGTTAGGACTGCTCGACCTGGGCTCAGGCTTGGTACTAGTAGAGGCTGAGCATATGACACGCGTACTGTGGCAAGGCCGATGCCATGTGAGGACATATTCTAGGGACCTCAATGAACATTTTTGATGGGGCAGGATAGCCATTGAAGCGTACTGGCTCTAAGAGAATCGAAACAAGAATGCAATGAGAAGCTATATATAAACATGCTGAGGGAAATGCATGAAACTAGTGGCTTAAAACAGAAGTGGGATTTCCATGGAGAGACTGATAAAAGAAGAAGAAGAAGATTGTGGTGCAAATAGAATATGCGTGGGGCTATAGGGTTCTATAACTTGTGTGCAAATGGAACCATAGAAAAAAGTAATCAACTCTGAGGTGGTCCATGAGAATTTAGCCCCCTTTTGAGCCGTTGGATTGGTTTTAGCTTAGAGGCAAGTGAGGACCGGGATTTGATGGGAAATATGGTTGGAGGATGGTTCATGAGGAAGGATAAAGCTTTGCGTATGTGGTTGAAGTTTGTGATCAAAATTCTTCCTCCTGTTTTGTTATCTGTGAAAATTGTAAGAGAGAGTTGGGATAGTGCCTGACGGTCAAGGAAATTTGTCTCTTCCTTGAATTAAAAATCAAACCTTAGGGTCACCTAATACAATAACATTATGACTTATCTGAGCTAGGGTGTTAATGAACTTTAAAGATTAGTCGAGAAAAAAAGTATTGTAGAGGAAATCAAAGTTGCAAGCTTAGTTGAGGAAAAAAATATCTAAAAGAATATTCAAAGTTGCAAGCATATTACTCTAAAGAACTTGAGAAGGAGAAATGCCTCGATACATTTTTCTTACTACATTTGCCAATTTGAATTCACAATTATACTTTTTTTTATTGTTTTAAATATCTTCGATAATATTACCAAATTTTTCAGTCATGTTCTAATATGTAAGAAGTAATTTATAAATCGATTATGAAAAAACTTGATCTGAATTCCAAACTTAAGACTCTTAACTTTATTTAAACAAATCACAGTATCATAAACATTGAGTAATCTAATGTGGGTTTGTTTACCTTTTCAAAAGAAAAAAAAAAAAAAAAAAAGTCCCGATTATATGAGAAAAGTTAGGTGGAATAATTTCATAATTTGTTTTAACATGGAGGTTGTAGTTCCCTACAAGTAATAAATGATGGTGACGTTAAAGAAACTGTACAAGTTATGATACTCAAGACAAGAGAAACCTTTAGTAATAGAAATTTCAAAGGTACAAAAATATACTAAAAGGAGTATGTAGAATAGAAATATAAGTTTTAATTAGTGTTTGTTTTTCTAAACTTAGACCATGATATGGTACAAAAACTATAATACAATTTCAACACTAATGAATTTTAATATAATATAAAATATTAAAATATACAAATTATTCAAGTCTAATTAGATGTATGATTAATCGTTATAATGAAAACCTTGAATTTTGCAAAAGCGACAATGCTTATAAAATAACAAACCAAAATTAATGGCTATGCGTCCAAGAATCATCAAGCGAACCAGATAGAATATGCTTAAACGAAGAACAACACTTAAACCAGTGTTGATTTCTCGATTCTGTGCCTTCAACTCCGATCATGGCGCCATCTCCTTCATCTTCTTCTCTTTGTTTGACGCTTTTCACAATGTTATCGCTTCGTTCACGCACGCAACCTGTTCGACGAAATTACCCTTTCACCCTCGCGATGTTCTTCCTCTGTTGCCCCGAGGTCTCGTGGCCAATCTTGAACTCGCTCAAAGGCGCGGCGGACTTGCTGCGGCGTTTGTGGGTTCTGCCTCCTCGTTAAATGACACCGTTGAGTGGAAGGGTGCGTGCTTTTATGAGAACCAGGCGTGATGGAGTTTCATAATAAGTCTGGCTCTGAGTTTGGTGGTGGGACTCTTCATATCAAGGTACTCCTTTCTTTTTTTTTTTTTTTTTTTTTTTGGGAAATTGTTGTGGGTAATTGGATTTTGCTCATTCTCTGGTAAAGTTGGCCTTTTTTTTTTTTTTTTTTTTTTTTTTTTTTTTTGTTTATATTGTGTTAGAGAAAAGGGTTGCTAAAGTTTAGGTTTTTCGAATTTACTTTCATAGATTTTGTGGTTTTGTTTTGGTGAAATGGTGAGACTATTGGGTCTGTTTATGTTGCGTGATTTTTGACTTTCTGGAGCTGAATTTGAGGTTTTCTCGAGTTTATGGTTCATTAAATAATTTGATTTGAATTGTTTCTTGTACTTATAACTTTGGTTGTATTTGGTTCTGTTAAAGTTTGTTGTCTTGTGAATATTTAGGTTTTGTGGATAATGTTTTTGTAGTTTAGTTGAATTTAGGAATTTTGGGTTGTTTTTTGTTTAGGTATCAAATTTGATTGTGCTTTTCAGCTTCTTGCCTTGTAATTTTACTTTGGAAGTTATATAGTTGTAGTACTGCTTGTGTCTCTTATCGGTCAGTAAAAGAATTGGTTGTTACATTTCCAAAACTTAAAGTACTTAAAGAAGTATCTATGTGCTATCCAGGTTACCAAAGCTCATAGTTGGACATGCATGGATCTTTATGTCTTTGCAACTCCGTACCGTGTGTCTTGGGACTACTATTTTTTGTCCCGGGAGCATACTTTTGAATTCAAAGAGTGGGAAGGGAAAGCCGAGTATGAATATGTGAGTTTCAACTTTCTATTATTCAGAACTTACCCCTTATTGTAGACAGTTTTGAAGTTGAAACACATATTTGTTTTCTATTCTGTGTGTGTACTTTATATAATATCAGGTGAAAAACAAGGGAGTTTCAATCTTCCTCATGCAAGCTGGGATGCTTGGAACCCTTGAAGCACTATGGGATGTCTTTCCTCTATTTACTAATACTGGATGGGGTGAGAGCTCCAATATTGGGTTTCTCAACAAGCACATGGGAGCTAACTTTGAAGAGCGTCCTAAGCCCTGGGTTACAAATGTCAGTGTTGAAGACATTAAATCTGGCGATTTCCTTGCAATTTCAAAGATCCGTGGAAGGTGGGGAGGTTTTGAGACTTTGGAGAAGTGGGTCAGCGGATCTTACGCTGGTCATTCTGCTGTTTGCTTAAGGGATTCTGAAGGGAAGCTATGGGTTGGTGAATCAGGGCACGAAAATGACCAGGTAAAACCATAGACTTTCTAAGAAATGATGGTATTATAGGACTCCATTGAGTTTGAAACTGTTATGAGGTCCTTCATGGTCATTTTATTTCTTAAATTTCATTTTACTTCCAGTTAGAACCTTTTAGTCTGGTATTATCAATTATGTAGTGCAAAACTGTTGCTGGAGCTATTTAGTTGTGGCATTGCTATTGAATGTTTCATGCCTTATTTACAGAATTTTTTTTTTTTTTTTTTGGGTTGTTACAATTAAATGTTTTATTTATCCTTATTTGTTTCCCCACTGTTCTGCCTTCATTGTAACATCCTCAACATAACTAGTTCTTTTAGTTTATAGAAAACAACAAATCTGTTGCTAAATCTCTTAATACGAATGATTAACCACATGCAAACAGCCTATGAAGGGATTAAGTGAGTCTTGAAATGCTGTTCTCCGAAAATTTCTTGTTACCTGATATTTTGGATTATGCTAGAATTATATGGGCTAGGAAATCAAGTGGTTGGCTGATTATATACTTCTGTTAGTCATTAGATTAATACTGAAGTTTTGCCTTTCATTTTTTCAGGGTGAAGATATAATTGCAGTGTTACCCTGGGATGAATGGTGGGAATTTGAGCTGAATAAGGATGATTCCAATCCCCATATAGCATTGCTTCCTTTGCATCCTGATATTCGAGCAAGGTTTAATGAGACTGCTGCATGGGAGTATGCTTTAAGCATGGCAGGAAAACCTTATGGTTATCATAACCTGATATTTAGCTGGATAGACACTATAGATGGCAATTATCCACCCCCTTTGGATGCTCATCTGGTAATAAATTTTTCCGTATCTGAATATATGTGTTATGATATTCTCTTCTTTCCTTATATTTCCTTCTTTTTCATTGTCTAATCAGCTTTTCACTTCTTGACCACAAGTTTTATATCTGATGATTTGTCGTCTACTCATTCTTTTGAAAGTATTTGTTGTGTTGGTGATATTAACCTCTATTCTGTCATTGTGAGCTTTACATGTTGCCTCTGGAAAACAAGGGGGTGCACCAAGAAAATGGCCCAGGAGATTTTGTTTCATTTGTCTCTTTGAATTTCTTTATTAAATCCAGTGTTCAAGCCTTCATAGGCACAATAACAATTCTATATTACTAATAATGCCATGGCCTCCTTGTTTTCTGTCTTTATCAGATTGAAATCTTAAGATGTTATATTTCTTCGACTGCTAACCAGTTTTATAATGGTTATAATTCTAGTTGTGCTTTCCATCTTGTGTATTTGCAATTGAATTTTATGAATGAATATAGTTTCTCTGTTCATGGTTAACAGTTGAATGCTAACATTATGGTCTTACAGGTTGCTTCTGTTATGACTGTGTGGAACCACATACAGCCTGCATATGCTGCAAATATGTGGAATGAAGCCTTGAACAAGCGGCTTGGAACTCAGGTATAATAAAAATTATTTTCCATTTCCCAGATCATGCTTCTCGTTTTAGATAATTAAAATGTCTTGAAATCATGGTGCTTCATGCATCAAACAATTTACTTAGTAGATAATTCAGTTTGTGAACTTTGGTAGGACAATTAACATGGTAAACATCTTTATTTTAGATCTTTTAGATTAGACATTTTTCACTTAAGTATTTCATGAGCAAAACTTGGATAAGATGGCTTAATCTTAACACCGGTCCCTTGTCTACAAAAATGTTAGACTACTTGTTAAGTGATTAAGCAAATTATTGTTGAAATACAATGTGCAACATGTCATTATTGAATACTTGATTAAGTTTTATTGTTTTTTACAGGATCTTGATCTTCCCGATTTATTAGTAGAAACTGAAAAGCGTGGGCTATCCTTTGATGAACTGCTGACAATTCCTGAGCAGGATGATTGGGTTTATAGTGATGGGAAGTCAACATCATGTATTGCTTTCGTTCTCGAAATGTATAAGGAGGCAGGATTGTTTGATCCAATTGCTAGCTCTATTCAAGTCACCGAGTTTA